CTAAATAAAATGTTAGGCTTCTGAGTCATGATTTTAAAAAAGGAATGAATTGAACCTTTCATATTTTCTTAAGTTCTTTCTTTCTATAGTGGCTTCTTTTATGGTTTACTCCTGTTACCAGCATACTGTTGTTCCCTGCAGCCCTTCCAATTGTCATCAGTGACCCTCAGTGGCTTTCGGTACCCCGGGTCTACACTTAACAGAGACGATTGATTAGGAAATTCATAAATTCAAATCATTATTTACATATCTGTTATCAAGGAAAAAGGTTTAATACTAACCCATATCCATTCTTGATCAATATCTTGATAAAAATTATTGCTGATACAGATCTTAGCAAAGCATAGGGCTTAATATGATTATTCTTTAAAATAGAACTGCTTGAAGGATTCTGTTACAAATTTTCTTACAGCTTTTTCGTTTTTTGTACCTTCAATTATTTTTCTCTTTTTTTAAAGATAATCAATTTTCAAACATATACAAAAGTAATAATAGCTACAACTGTTAATCAATATTTACAAAATTTAGAAGAAGCTTTTCTTGTTTCATTTTTCAATACTCTTGGTGGAACAGCAGCTCCTCAGTGTATTTCTGTATGTTTGGTATGATTATATAGTGAAGAATATTGTTATATTTTACTAGATATAATTATATAAATATGTAATTAAATATAACAGTACTGTATGTCAACATGAGTTGAAAATGACATGTGTAGTGATCAAGATAAACAGTGAAAGCCATTTATTTTATTAAATTGGAAAAAAGAGTTTACTTTTACCAACTTTGTGAATATTACTTGACAGATTTTTAATCCTGGGCTACTTTTATCCAGCTGCTACATATTTAGACAGTGTGCTTAGGTTTTAATGATAGTCTACCCCATACACAATGCTGGTTATTGTCTGCCCTTATTCCACTTGCCTTCAGTCAGTCCACAATACTGACGTTGGTTTGGTAATTTCTTCACTGTATTGCCCCTAGAATCCTTTCATGGCATCCAAGTCCCTTTATAAACTGTCTTCAAGCAGCCTTTCAGACTTTGCCTTGACCATGCCTTGCCTTACACCAGCCTGTTGGACTTCTCACCCTTCCACTGACCATGCTGCACCCTTCAACTTTGCCATTCCTGTGTGCTTTTTCTGTGAAGGCTTCCCTCATGCCAGTGTTTATCTTCCTTCCTGTATTCTCTTAGAATTTTGTCCTTTCATCTCTTAAACAGACCCGTGGCCTTATTATTATTTACATATACATGTCTTTCTCCCCGGTTTTGACCTACCTGGGATAAGTGCTATGTATAGTTTTTTATTTGTATTATCAGACTCCTAAGTCTGTCTAGCCACCAAATTGAATTTACTCATCACTGGGATATTAGCTGTAAGAACATTGCAGCCTTTTAACTTGTGACCCTAAAATAGGAAACCTTTAATATATTGATTTAAGGAATTGTTTAATTGTTTTAGAAACCACTCAAGAAGGTTATTATTGAAGAAACTGGTAATTTGATACAGACTATTGATGTGCCAGACATCACTACTGCTGCTGCTCCAGAAAGTAATCCTATTAATCTAGCAAATGTGATAGCAGCCACGGGCACCACAAATAAGAAGAATTCAAGCCAAGATGACCTTTTTCCCACAAGTGATACTCCAAGAGCAAAAGTATTGAAAATAGAAGAAATCGGTGATACGTCATCCTTACAGTGAGTAGAAATACTGTTATTTGATGATCATCTGGAATGGTGGTAATTCCACTGGAGAATTGATATTACTGAGACTTCTGATTTGTACTAATCATGCTAATTTTTTGAACTGCCTAACTTAAGGTTCTAGTTTTTCTTTTTTATTTGTACTTACTTTAAGAGCGATTTTTTTTTTCACCACAGTGTGAAATTTAGAGATAAGGTGTCTTGAAAATTGATTTTGTTTAAAAATTTTCAGTTCTAGGATTTCAGTGTATATGTTTTATTATTTAGTTCAGCAAAATTTTAGTTTTTTTAAAAGAAAGCTTCATAAAATTGTAGAATTTATGCATTGCCATCATTTCATCCATTAGTATTTATTTGTGGACTCTAACTTTTGTTTGGTGTTGAAAAAATAGTTTATGTGTTTTTTCTTAATATAGAAGATATAGACTAATTAGGTTCATTCTGAGGTATGGAAACCTTACTCATATATTTTTACATTGCCACTCAACAAACCTGCTAAGAGTTGTTTTTTAAACTTCAAACTTCAGTAGTGTTTTTATTTAAAGTGATAGAAATGAATTAAATAGAATGATAGATTGCAGGACAATAGTAAATAGGCAGGTTTTTTTTTTTTGGAAGAAGCATTTCTTCCTTTTTTGGAATATTTTGAAAATGATCATTCAGATCTTTGAAAGGCCAAGTCATTAGTGTATGTGACATGATGACTGAAATATACAGAAACGGTGTACTCAAAAGGTGGATAGGCTAGTTGCCTAGCAGATAAGAATAGTCATTATATAGCCAGCATGTGAAAATTTGCAAGAGCATAATCTATTTTGCCAAAAAATATTTATATATTATTATCTGAAATAATTGAATACTTGTAGAATACAAATAGATTGTTTATACAATATTAATAGGGTCAAAAATTTAAAAATTGTATTGATGGCTCCTTGATTGAGCTGTGGTTATTTACGGTTCTTTTCTGTTTGATACCTCTGAAATATTTCAGACCTCAAGCCAATTTGAAACAGGATGTATGTCAATCTTACAGTGAGAAAATGCCTCTACAGATAGGACAAAAACCTGCTCAGTTTGTCACAACTGTTCTTCCCCCAATTCCTGCAAACTCATTCCAACTTGAATCTGATTTCAGACAATTGAAAAGTTCTCCAGATATGTTGTATCAGTATTTAAAGGTAAGAGAGAGGAAGCTAGTAGTTCTGTTGCAAGTAAAAGATCAAAGAACTTCTTTTGTCACTTTATAATAATGGTGCCATATTTGCTTTTTGTAGGATATTATTGGAGAAATTATTGTAGAATACATCACCCTGGTCAGACCATTTAAAAATATTTACAACTAGGGAACCTTGATGTTCTCCTTTGGAAATAGATTCTGTGTCAAATTTTATTGTCTCAACTTAATCTAATTTCATATATATTAGCTTAAGCTTAATCCTTCATAAAAATTCTAAAATACATTGAGTATCTTCTGTGTGCCAAGTAGTGCTTGTAATATTTAGGCAATCATTCTCCTAAAAATAAGCTTATATTTGCTCTAAGAAAAAGACTCAAATCCTATGAAATTTAGCAAATAATAAATAAGCATGGGCTTTTTCAAGTGTAATCATAGTAACATTTCCTTATAATTATGCAATATAAAATTACTTCCAAATACATTTTCTCATGTAATTCTCCTTTTTAAAATCTCTAGTTATATTTATTGTTCTTTGAGAGCCCTCTTAAGTTTCCTGTCTCTCTTAGGATGGTGTATATCTCTTCTGCTCATAAGATTTTTCTGTGGCAAGAGCAGAGTGATTATCATGCAGTTCCTGTAACTCATTCTTCTATCATAATTGCATTTAATGTGACTTCATTATTATTCATAAGTGCTAATGCATAGTAGTTATTCTTTACTATTTTTACCCAAGCAATTGTTGTATAATTTGTGGTATGTAAGTGTTGCCATCAAGTAATTGTCTAACTTTTAATTTTTTTTTCCAAGCAAATTGAACCATCTTTGTATCCTAAGTTGTTTCAGAAAAATCTGGATCCGGATATATTCAACCAGATCATTAAAATTCTGCATGACTTTTACATTGAGTAAGTCAAGGTTTTTTTGGTTATCCAGTTACCCAGTCTTCACTTAATGTCATTGATAGGTTCTTGGAAACTGTACCTTTAATTTAAATGATTAAACCATAGGAGCTTAAGTCTTGTTTATATCAGCTGGCCTATGGTAAAATTGGTTTGTTTATACAGTATGCTGTAAAGTGCAAGAGTCAAAGGAAAGCTGGGGAAGAGAGTTTTAGACTGAAGGAATGATACTTGTGCAGTGCTTCTGAGGCAGGAAAGAGTAAATGAGTCCGGAGAATTAAAAGTGGTGTGGCTGGATTATAGAATAAGGAGCCTTTCAAGAGCCTTTTGTTGATGTCAAGTGAGAATTTACTGTACTTTCATATTATAATGCTAGGCTATTTGCAATGATTTGGGAAGTTCATTCTCTTTTTTTTTTTTTTTTTTGGGAAGTTCATTCTCTTTGAATATATGTAGCAAATTAATATCATATAGCAAAATTAGCTTTTTTGTAAGTTTCTTTGTTACAGAAGTTGCAAGGAAATGACAAGTACAGACAATAAAAGGGAAAAGTTTAAAAGGGAGGAAAAAGGACTCTAATTTTTTTTGTAGGTAAAAATAGGGTATGGAAGTGACCAATGTTTTAACAGAATAATAGTTTCTATGCCAAGCTCTCATTTAAGAATATTATAATTTCTTCAATTGACTTAATACATTTCTTCATTTGGGCACTTAAATAAAGGTAGTATCCAGGGGGAAAATTATATTTATGTATAATTAGAAGTATTGTGTTAGTAAACAGAATTGTTAATAAATGAGCTACTTTTAACTTATTTTATATTTGGATTATTTCAGGAAAGAAAAGCCATCACTCATCTTTGAAATCTTACAAAGACTTTCTGAACTAAAAAGGTTTGATATGGCAGTGATGTTTATGTCAGAAACAGAGAAAAAGAGTAAGTTCTATGAAAGTTTTCCTATGTTTGTTTATTCTTGTACATTCCTTTATTCATTCAACAAATAACAGCTGACATTTACTATTTACTGTGTATAAGGTTATATTTAATCAAATATTTATAATTAAATTATATTGTCAAATAAATTAAATTAATTATATTAAATTGTATTTAGTAAGTTAATTAGATTGGATAACAAGAACAGTTAAAATTGTATTGTTAGTCCTGACAATGTTATGAAGTGTGGGTACTGTTTCCTCCTTTTACAGAGGTGAAAACTGAAGTACAGAGAGGCTAAGAAACTTGACTAAGGTCATATAGCTAGAAGTCAGACCCAGGATTTGAACCCAGGCAGTCCAACTCCATAGTCTGAGCTCTTCTATTTGAAAATGCGGTAAATGGTATAATGGTTGAGTTCCTACTGTCACTGAGTATGTAAAGGATCAAAGCCACAGGACATGTAACTGAGTGAGGTACAGGAAAGGCCTGATCTAATCTGAGAGAGGTAACTCAGTCCTTGAGTTTGATCTTAGCTGAATTCCCAAAGAAGTTCAAGAGTCAAAGGGAAAGCTGGGGAAGAGAGTTTTAGACTGAAGGAATGATATGTGCAGTGCTTCTGAGGCAGGAAAGAACAAATGAGTCTGGAGAATTTGAAGTAGTATGGCTGGATTATAGAATAAGGAGTAATGAGTGGCAGGTGATGAGCCTTAAGAATTGTATTTCTTTTTTATTTCCACATCAGATAAAGAGTCCATTTTGAGAAATCCTAATTAAAGCAAAATTGCGCTATGTAGAAACTGCAGTTACACAGAGTTTTGGGCTATAGTCGTTTCAGGAAAAAAAAGAAAAAAAAAACACTCAAATACAAGAGTGTCTTTTTTTTATTTTTAAAAATTAGCAAAAAAAACTCAGTGTATCATTTTCAGATACTTCCTGTACTAAGCATACATGGACTTCTTTTATTTCTTCTTTATCTTTTTGGCAGTGATGTTGAATGATTTTAAATCAAAAAGAAAGATACTTTTGAAATTATACTTAGGGAAATGGACATGTAATTTAGATGTATTTTTCTTTAGGCCAGGCATGGTGGCTTATACCCGTAATCCCAGTACTTTAGGAGGTTAAGGCAGGAGGATCACTTGAGACCAGCCTGGCCAACATGGCGAAACCCTGTCTTTATAAAAATTCCAAAAATTAGCTGGTTGTGGTGTTGTGCATCTATAGTCCCAGCTATGCAGGGGGCTGAGATGGGAGAATCGTTTCAGTGCAGGAGGTCGAGGCTGCAGTGAGCCGTGATTATGCCACTGCATTCCAGCCTAGGCAACAGAGTGAGACCCTGTCTCAAATAAATAGTTAAAAAAAAATAAAATAGATATACATTTTTTAATAGTGAGGGTTTAAGCCAAAAGTTTTGGTTTTAGCTTTAGTTAACCAGAAATGTTCCTTGAAATCCCTGAAAAATGTTACTGTTTTTTACTACTGTTCTGACCTCATCTTACCACTCTTTTTTCAACCACTGTGCCCCATTGTAGTGGTTTTATATAGCTTTTAAGATACCAAACTGCCAGTTGAGTGTGGTGGCTCACGCCTGTAATCCCAGTACTTTGGGAGGCCAAAGTGGGTGAATCACCTGAGGTCAGGAGTTCAAGACCAGCCTGGCCAACATGGTGAAACCCCATCTCTACTAAAAATACAAAAATTAGCTGGGTGTAGTGGCGTGTGTCTGTAATCCCAGCTACTTGAGAGGCTGAGGCAGAATTGCTTGAACCTGGGAGACAAAGGTTGCAGTGAGCTGAGATTGTGCCATTGTACTCCAGCCTGGGCAACAAGAGTGAAACTCCATCTCAAAAGACAAATAAACACACAACCCCCCACCCAAACTTCATCTCAAAAAATAAACACATACACACACACATCCCTCCACCCACCCACCCACCAAACTGCCAAACTTATTTTGGCCTCAAGGACTTTGTGTTTGGTTCTTCTCTCAACCCAGAATATCTTCCTGCATATCTTCACTTTTGTGCTGCTTCGTTTAGTTTTCACCTATCACCACTTCAAAGACATCTTTCTTCACCAACCCGCCATCATGTGACCTCTGTCTTCTAACTCTACTTTATTTTTCTTCATAATACATTACTAGCTGACAGTGGTTCATGTGTATGTTTATTATATCTATCTAGTAGAATGAAAGCTCCTTGACAGCAGAAACTTTGTCCACCTGGCTCACTGGGCCTCAGTGCTAGTACATAATAACCCCTCAGTGTCAATGTGTTGAATGAATGAATTTTTTGTTACTCTAATGTGATAAGTTCAAGATGTCTGAGAATGCAAGTGGGCTCTTCAGACTGGCTGACCAATAGTACTGTCTTGATGGGGTTGAAGTTAAACATGGAAAACACTTAAAATGGTTCTGGTATGTAACTAAGCATTCAGTAAATACTTAGCTGTTATTATCTTTTATTATTGCCATTATCATTAATAACTGTTAGCTAGTTTTCCAGTTTTAATGTTGACAAGCATGAACTATAACAGTGATTTCCTAATGTTGAGTGTTGATTGATCAGTGGTAGTAAAGATGATATTTTGTGATTCATAATCTTATTTTTAACATTTAGTAGTTTTAATCTTGTAATATAAAAATATTTAACTGTTCCATCAAGTGTGATTTCATTGATGTCATTGCTGTTTTTCGTTTACAGTAGTGATATAAAGTTTTCTTTTAAAATAAAATGATTTAGGTTTGAAAAACAGTTTAATTGAAATAAAAATATTAAAAGAATAAAAGTACACTTGTTACACAGATAGGGCAAACATTTTTAAGGTAGTACAGAATGAATTAAGTTTAATCTATAAGATTAATATTGAGAATGCAGGGGAAATTTTATATTGCTAAAGCAAAATATTCTGGAAAGAAACGTTGTTGGATTGCTGTGTAATTTTGTGTTCTCAGATTGACTTTTTAAATACCTGAATTAGAATTTATAAACCTACTTATTGATTTAAAATGTAAAACGTTTTTGACAAATCAGATTGCTCCTTTTAATTTACATTTTGCTTAGTGTTTTAAAAATGAGATTAAAATGGAGATTTCTTTTTCTTTTTCAGTTGCACATGTATTATTTAATCACATAGACAAATCAGGATTGAAGGATAATTCTGTTGAAGAACTCAAGAAAAGATATGGTGGTTGATTTCCATTTTTGCTGAAAGAATTGTTTCTGACTTTCATATATAATTTTTTCTACTAAAAGTGTTTTGCTTTTTAAGAAAATGATACTGTGATTTAACTAGTGAGAATTGTATTCAAGTAAACTCTGTGTTTTTCTGAAAATAAAAATATAACCAATGAGTTATGTTTGTAAGGATCAGCATTTTGTTTTATGAGTCATTTTAAATGTTAAATTTAGATACATTCTTCAGTGACCCATAAATATTTTTATATTTTTTTGAGTTTTTGTAACCACAAGCCAAAGCTGCTTCATTAGCATATGAATAATTATCTTTATATAGAGGAAGTTAGATGGTGAGATCCTTTGTTTATAAAACTTTTTAATGTTATTATGCCAATTCACTAACATAAAGTTATTTAGTTGCAGGATATGTATTTTTAGTATTTATGTTGAAAGAAAGAAGACTTTTAACTGGACTTTCAAACTAGGTTAATTGAAGAATCGCAGTATCCTTACATTTTAATCCCATAGAGTTTTTTGCCTTATGATATCCATGTTACATACCAGCTAAGGACAGATAGTCTAAAGCAAGGTGTAAAAATTTAAAAATTAGTTATGTTTAAAGTACTAATTAGCGTATAGCCCATATGTATGTGTTGGATGTGAGTGTAGTGTTTGTAAGCTTTTGAAAGTAGGGCTGGAACTCTGCATAGTACCTAGTACAAACCTTTGCACATAGGTGCTCATTTATAAAATTTAATTGAATTTGACACAAGAATCACATTAGGTAAATGTTTAAAGTAGCAGCCTAGCAAAGTTTGGGCATGATGTAAACACTGGTAAAACCAGTATAATTTTAGAGACCATCAGGTTGTTAAAAAATATTAGGACACCATTCTATAATTATTATCAGCCTAAATAAGACAGTTTACAACTTTATAAAATGTTGTTAATATTTATGGCCATTATACATATTACTATTCTTATGAATTGTTTGAGAAATAATCATAATTTATTTACAAAGATTTTCTTTAGGTTATGGTATAAATTATTGAGATATGTTTGTAATTTGGATAATTTGAATGCTTTACAATACACTTAAGATAAAGCTTATTAACTTTATTACTAACTTTATTAACATTACTATAACATTGCTAAGTGTATTACGGTATATAAACAGGTAACGGAATTTGGTTTTTTATTTGTTATTATCTGAATGTTTACGTCCCCCACAAATTCATATGTTGAAATCCTAACCCTGAAGGTGATGATCTTCAAAGGTGGGGCCTTTGGCAAGTGATAAGGTCAGGAGGGCAGGCCCTTGTAAAAGAGGCCCCAGAGAGCTTGTTCACCAATTCTACCATGTAAGTACACATATGAAGGCATCATCTATGAACTAGAAGGTGGGCCTTCACCAGACACCAGAGACCAGAATCTACTGGCGTCATCTTGGACTCCCCAGCCTCCAGAACTGTAAGAAACAAATTTTTGTTTTATTAGTACAAGCTTCCTAGTTTGATATTTTATTATAGTAACCTGAATGGACTAAGGTATGATCCTTCGAAGAAACTACGAGGTAGTCAGGGCAGGTAATGTTATTTTCATTCTTAAAGTAAGAAAAGGAGGCTGAGAAGGTAAATGTTCTTTGCATGATTATAGAGCTAAAAGTGGACTAAAATGGTTCAGAACATGCTGTCTTCTTTTAATGTAGAGCTATTTGAACTACTCCCAGCTGCAGTTTTTATGTTGTATTACCTGGATAGAGACTGTTAACCGAAGAAGTACAGATCACAAGATTTACTGTAGAATTTGAATTTAAAAAATTTTCTAATGTCAGCCTGATTTCTCCCCAGAGACATTTTTATGTAGTGATTTAAGACCAGAGGCTGTGGAGTCAGACTTCTTGAGTTTGAATTCTGCTTCCATCTGGCTTTAGGGCCTTAGACCATTTACTTTTCTATGCTTTGTTTTTGAAATCTGTAGAATGGGTATAAGTGAGGATTGAGGGAATGTACACATTTTGTGTTTGGAGCAGAGCTGGATATTATAGTAAGCTACTGTTGTTACTATCATTATTATAATTACCATCCTTTCCTAAAAGTGATTAGAATAAAGAACAGTCTTTAGAGGCTGTCATATTGTTGCATCATTGCAAAATAGCATAGTGGTTAATAGAGTCCTTTTTGAGTCAAATAACCTGAGTATACAACCTATTGCACTCAACTAGCTTGTGAATTTGGACATAGTCTTCAGCCATGTTAAGCTTCAGTTTCTTCTCATATGAAATAGAATAAAATAAATGCCTACCTCAGAGGTTTTTAGAAAGGTTAAATGTGCTATTATAATAAGTATTAGCATGTTAGTTCCTGTCTAGTGCTCATTTTTATTAATAACAGTAATATTGCCTTAAAGGTACAAAAGCAGTAGTTTCTCAAGTGGTTTCTTTCTGGAAATGTAGTTATTTACTATTAATTGTATCTTTTAACTTGATAGCAACATTTAAATCATAATTATTCTTGTATTTTTTGGCAGAAACACCATGCCCATTGTTTATTAGTTGCCTCCCACTTTTGTTTTAGTTACACTAAATTTAATAAATTGATGGGGTATACCCAAGTCCTCACCATTTTGACAGTTTGTCCTAATACATTTGAAAAAAATTTTACTTCCAACCCATGAATCCATTGTCTCTGTCAACAGAAGGCATTTCTGAACACAGTACCAAGGCTCATTTTACCTTTTTACAATTCTTTTTTTTTTTTATCACCCCCCAACGCCTCTACAATTCTTTTTTAATGTTTGACCTTTGAGTTCTGTTTAAAGAAACATTAAAAATTTAATGTTAATGAAACTTGTTTGATTCATTCATTTAATTAATTTAACAAATATTTGTTGAGTCTACATATAATTCAGGCACTGCTAGGCACTGGAAATACAAAAATGAACAGAGTAAACATGGATTCTTTCCTGACAAAGCTTATAGGGAAGTGGGAGGTGGGATGAGGGGGTACAAATAAAGAGATACAGTGTAATAAATGCTAAACAGGTAATATCAAAGGATCATGGGAAATACGGGAATAGCAGATGCAAAAGACAAGACAAGTTTGAGAAAATTTAATTTCTAGCTTAGAGTGGGGAACTGGATAGTGGGAAGAAATGAAGCTCAAGAAAGGAGGGCTGAGATTCTAGAGGACATTTGAACTTCATCCTAGAGGGTACTGCAAAACTAGTGATAGTTTATATAGGAGAGTGATTCTCAAATTTGTATTTAATAATTACTTTGGCTACTGTGGGAAGAACATTGTTGCATGGGAACATTAGAGGCAAGGGAACTTGTTAGAGGACTTTTGGGGTACCTAAGGCAAGAGATTATGGTATCCTGAACAAGAGTACTAGCCATGAGGATGGAGAGAAGTGACCAGAATAGAGAAATATTTGGAAAGTAGAATGGGCAAGATTTGGTGGTGGATGCAGGGCCCCCACATTCAGGGCTTAACTCCATGGAGCACCCTTTACATTGTGGTATGTGTGAATGGCATCTCTGGAACATAATGTGAATGCTTCCTGACTTGTACAATTTGGGGATCCTGTGTGGACTGAATGTGGGTTGGGAAGCAAGTTGAGAAGCAGAAGGGAGAAGGGTCATGGTCAGATTTTTTTCCCTTAGGGCAGTGCTTTCACTCACTGAAATACAGACCACATTGGGTGATACCATATGTGGAAGTAGAAAGTTTGGTTGAGTGGCTGAGAGAATGATTCAGTTTAGGATCTATTGGATTCGTGATCCCTTTGGTCATTGAAATAGATTAAGGATGGTCATTTTCGTTTGGACCTTAAAAAGCGTTTAGGTGGAGTCTCAGGATTAGATGAGATTACTTGGAAGTATAGAATCAGGAGAAAAGGGTGACTGGGTAAGTGGGACAGAACTAACATCTACATTTAACAGATTGGAAAAGGAGCACATAAAGCAGACTGGGGAGAGGGGGGCACAGAGAGGGTGACAGCAGAAAGCATGCAATGGAATTAAGTTTTTTGTTATTGATAGTTTAAAAGTTTTGATTGGTTCTGTCATGTAAGTTTTTAGGATTGTTGCCAAGTTTGAGAAAATCTCTACCATGTTTGTTTTATATTTGAGCTGTATGATTCAGGGGATTACATGAGTATATATTTCTGACAAGGCAGAACTCCCGTTTTGACTAGGCATCCATGAAGCATCCTGTTACAATACATGTCTGAAGACTGGGAAGTATCTCTACAGATGAGCTTTGGGATCTGTACATTGCACATCTTGTCCACCACTGCACATGTACTTATGGGGCTGGTTACTATCTAATGCATTCAACTTCTGGTCTAAAACTGGGAACGTTGACAGTATGGACAGTCGGAGTATCCCTAAAGTCTTCCTATCCTGAGATGGTGAGCAGTAGTTCAACCTGGTAGAAAAATGACTGCAGACCACGTAAATATATTCCATAACACTCAGCTACTTCATAGTCTACATCTCAAAACACTTCGTGTAGGAAATTACAGTGGAAAGGGACAGCAGTCTAGACTGTGGTTAAAATATCTTAGTTTTGAAATTTAGTTTGAAAATGTAGTTTGCAAAAACATAGTCATGTAAAAACTTCCCTGGAGTCCCTCTCTGGGCCTTGGAAGTGGCTTGTACAAGTTAGAGTTCCTGGAGCTTAAGCTTTGTTAACTTCAGGGTAAATTGGCTGTTTTCTCAGTCCACAACCTTGAGCCCTATGAGTGTTTAGCAAGCATCTCTTCTCTTGTAACACTAGAGGTTTTGGATGCACAGTCTATACATCTCAGCTATCAAATTTGTGAACAACTGAAGGGCTGTGCCTTTTTAGGGCTTGATCTGTCTGGTATTGATTTTTCATTTTTGTAGGTATGAGTTACAAGAGCTAGCCCTGAAGAAGTAATTTGCTTTCACTTGCATGTACATCTCTTTTATTTAGAGTGTGGGCCTTGAGCCCATGCTCTTCCATCTTTTCTATTATCTTATATCCTGATATCCTCTATTTTCTGTGGCTCTTCCCCCGATGACAAACAAGTCTGATTTCCGTGCTTAGAGGAATGGCCCTTTGGCCCTGTCCATGTCCTCTATCTCTTCTGGCTATCCCCAGTAGTTCTGTGATGGTAAAATTAGTCATTTTCCCCTAAGTTCTTACTGTCCTTGATCCTCTGTAGCATTTGACCTGGTTGGCTATCTTGGCCTTGGTGACATTTCACCCTATTGGTTCCTTGTCTCCTCCTCATAGCTCTGTCTCTGTCGCCTTTTCATCTTTTTGTCTTCAGTATCTAGTCCTTTGCCCTCTCCTCTCCCCTGAGAGCTTGACATTCAGAGAGCCTCTACTAACAACCACCAAATTTGTTTCTTAATTGCTCTCTTTTTTCTCAAGTGCTAGTCTTTTTCCCTGGTTCTGTACTGTTACTCCTTGGTATGCTATTACTGACCAGAACCCAGCATTATAAAAAATAGCTCATTGCCATTGCACTCTAGCAGCCCCCCTCTAGCCGTTTCTCCTGACTGCCCTCTTTTAATGTGGCTGTTGTTGGTTCAGACACAAATTTCAATCTTAGTAATATTTTTGACCTCTGCTTATTTTTGCCTACATCCAATCACTAACTCATGAAGTCTAGTGAGCTTTCCCCTTGCAGTGCCTGCCATATGTCACCTCATGTCCTGAAGACGGCAGTAACCCTTAATGAGTCTCTCTGGCTGTATTCCTGTATAATCCACCTGTGTGCCTCTGCCAGCTAAATCTTCCTTTAGCATTGTTCTCATCATGTCACCTGTGCACGCGGCTTGCAGGACACCTCACTCCTCATGAGACTTCTTGTGATGGCCATCTTCTGAGTTAAATATTGGGACAACATGTTTGACCAAGGGCTTTCCGATTTGTGGATTTATTTCTTAATTAAGGAATACATATTATGTGCCAGATGCTATATAGGTGTTGCAGATACAAAAATTAAAACCACAGCCTCCACCCTAAAGTATCTGTCTATTGGGGGAATTGGATAAGAAACATGAACTATAATAAAGGGTGACAAATATAATGATAGAAGTCTAAGAGGCAGGGCTCAAAGCTCACCTGGTAGGATTGAGAAAGGCATCCCTGTAGAGGAGCCATCTAGTCTCAGGCATGAAGGATTAGAAAGAACAATCCAGGCAGATGCAGGGACAGCATGGTTTAGGTAGAACAGCTTGAAAAGAGGAGTATGAAAACAGGAAACATTAAGGGATTTGCAGGCAGCGGGGGTACTTGGGGCTTGGCTGTTGGTGAGATAGTGAAGAGTTAGGAGCCAGATTATGAAAGGCATTTGCTGTGACAAAAAGACCAATTTTCTGAAAGTGATGAAGAATCACTCAGGGCTTCATTTTAGAGATAAACAGAGGCATATATAGGTTATATAATTTGCCCATAGACATCTGATTAACAGGTGGTAGAGCAGAGATACTGTACCAAGTATCTCTGAAGCCAGAAGTCACATGCCTAACCACCATTCTATATGTTATCCTCTTCTTGGATATATAGAGAAGACAGGATGGATTTTTATTTTTATTTATTATTATTATTTTTTGAGAGAGTCTTGCTGTCACCCAGCCTGGAGTGCAATGGTGCAATCTCAGCTCACTGCAACCTCTGCCTATTGGGTTCAAGCGGTTCTTCAGCCTTAGCCTCCCGAATAGCTGGGATTACAGGGACACCCACCACGCCCAGCTAATTTTTATATTTTGATAGAGACGAGTTTTCACCATGTTGGCCAGGCTGGTCTTGAACTCCTGACCTCAAGGCATCTACCCGCCTTGGCCTCCCTCAGTGCTAGGATTACAGGTATGAGCCACTGTGCCCAGCCAACAAGGTGAATTTTAAAAATATATGTAGGAGGGAGAATCCACAGGACCTGTGGACGTTCATTCATTCAAACATTTCTTCAGTGTCTATAATGTACCCTGTAGGGGATTAAGCATGAGAAAACAAACATAACTTCTGCCCTTCAATAACACATAGTATAACTGAGTAGTCAAATAAATCTGCAATTACAGTACAGTGTCATGAGTGCCCTAGTAAAGGTTTGGAAAGAGCACAGAGGGCAGCTCTGAATAAAATTGGGGGTAGGCAGGGAAGGAAGAGGCAGCGTTTGATTGAGACTTGAGAAGGATGGTCCAGGTTCACAGTGGGAAGGAGGATGTCCAGGCAGCAGGATCAGCAGAGGTAAAGGTCATGTATTAATGGCATGGTCCTGAGCACTTTGACTTGCCTGTGGGGTGGCAGGCAATTTTGTGTACTATGGAAGGTGACACAGGGGATAGAGTTTGAGTTGACTGGTACATTCTCCCTTCATTTTTATATTTGTTAATTCTTCATGTGTGCACATACTAGATTTTAAGTTCCTTGAGGGTCGTGACATCATCTTAGATGTCATGAATGCTAACATTGACCTTGTCTATTACAGTTGTTCAGTTAATGTTTATTGAGTGACCAGTCTAGATTATTATGACATTAGGCTAGAATTAGTGCGTTTCTCCTCTTACTGTGGTTAATGTAGGACTGTCAAATCTAATAAAGAATTATTCTCTTCACTACTTTTTCATTGTAATGTCTTGAAGAAAAATGAAGCTATCCATGATATAGGCTAGCCCAATCAGTTTGATTCTTTGTCAAATAATAATTTGGGGCAACAAAAAGACTTGATTAAAATAATAGTTTTTAACATGATTGTTTTGTTGAGCTTATATAAGTTGAAAACTTATTTCTCATCAAACAGGATGGATAGCCTCACTTCAATAGCCGCACTTCGGTGTTCCTTACATTCTGTCTCTGAAAATGACCACGCCTAAAATAGGAACACCTCAAGGATCTGGGAGCCTCCATTAGCTGATGCTTACAATTGGAGTTTGAACTGAGCAAAAAAATCATCTGGGTAATTTTATTTAATAAGCGCTGTTCACCTACTATATTTTTTTGCTATGATCTTAATGTCTGTATCTCCCCAAATTCATATGTTGAAAACTAATCCCCAATGTGATGGTATTAGGAAGTGGGACCTTTGGGAGGTGAGAGCTCCCATGAATGGGATTAGTGACCTTATTAAAAAAAGAAACCCCAGGGAGCTGCCTTGTTCCTTCTCCCATGAGAGGTTATAGCAAGAAGATTAACCCTCAACAGACATCAAATCTGCCGTGATCTTGGACTTTCCATTCTCGAGAATGGTGAGAAATAAATTTCTGTTGTTCATAAGGTACCCAGTTTATGGTAATTTGTTACTGTAGCCCAACTGGACTAAAACAAGTTTAGAATATCCATTTACATTTTATAATAGACAAAACACCAAACAACAATAACAAACCCAAGGTTTATGTGTGTATGAAGCCCTGCTCTGGTGTCCCACTGAATGCAGCTCTGGAGAAGGCTGTGGTTAACACTGCAGGGGCCTCCAGAGGGCTTGGCCTTAGGTTTGCCTGGAATCTGCAATCCCAGAGGCCTATCCTAGGATCCAGGATCCAGGGATGTGGGTAGTGTCCCTAAGATGAAGACCCTCCTTCAGTTTGTTTGACTTCTGTGATCACAAGCAGCCAGATGGGCTGCTTGTGAGGTAGGAGATATTTCTCTTGTGGCTTATGGAATGAGTACTGTGCTTTTGCAGTGACTGGCACTGTGCTGATAACTGCAAAGAAGCAAGACCATGAGTGATGAAGGGCTCAATGGGGGGTATGATGATTCTGGAGGTGGTGATCTGGGGAATAGACAGGGAAGATGGCATGGAAGAGATGTGGTCTGAGGCGGCCTAGAAGGATGGTTAGAGTCTGGTTTAGGTAGAGGAGGGTTGATGGCTTCTCTAACAGGATCCATCTTCTTAGAGATACAGATGGATAGCAGAATGGTAGGATGGAAATTGCTGTGGCATCTTTCTTGAATGGCACATCAAAGCCCAGACCTGTTCACTCAGGAGAGATTTTGGGATGGAGAACAGTGCTTTGTCTCTTAAAGATTCTTACATTTCATGTGACACTTTAGCATTTAAACTTCATGCTTTCAAATTACCAAACTGAGAGTTCAGAGGAAAAGACAATAAAGAGTGCAGGCACTCAGTCAGTTGACTTGAGTAAAGCCAAATATTTGGGCCTCATTAGAATCTTTCTTTTGGTTTGTTATCTCTTCAGGGAATACTATAAACGAGGAAGATATGCCTGGGTCCCAGGGGTCTATTTTAACCTGCCGTTTAGAGCTTGCTTTATTGACATTTCAAATCACCTAAGCCAGTGAACACATTCGTGATGACCCTGAAGCTGATCATGGGGGAAAATGTTTTATAAAGCTAGGGGCATCCTTTGGGTAGATGAAGCAGATGAAATCAGGACAAAATGAGCACATTAATGAGGGTTGAGCATAGGCCATAAGAAATATTAAAAAACATATAAAACTGTCATCAATGATAAAATGTTCTCAGCTATTAGTAAGTTACTGAAATATGTCAAATACTCTTCTGATTCTTGACTTGTTCTCTTTGAGTAATGAGTCACTGCAGTTTCTGCAGCCTTGGATGGAGACCAGTGTACACAGGGCAGAGCACTGAGGAGGCACTCAGTAAATGTTCACAGAGTGAAAGGTGAGTAAAGCTGGAGACACTTGTTGCTGTTCATTGTCCATGAATACCAGGCAAAAGTTCTAAATTAATTTGATAATTTTAAAAGGAAAACTAAAAAAAAAACATTCTGTAGCCAGAATAGTGGAAATACACAAAAATAGATAACTCAGTAATTCCATGGATCCTGTACCAGAACAGAATTTGCAATACCGTTTAGAATACATCTGGAACTGTGTCCCAATCACAATAGAAAATGAACTTTTATCATAACAAAGTGCCCTGAGCTGTATAGTTTTCTTGACTTTTTTTTTTTTTTTTTGAGACAGAGTCTCACTCTGTTGCTCAGGCCTGGACTGCAGTGGCACGATCTTGGCTCACTGCAACCTCCACCTCCCGGGTTCAACCGATTCTCCTGTCTCAGCCTCTTGAGTAGCTGGGATTACAGGCATGCACCACCATGCCTGGCTAATTTTCATATTTTTAATAGAGACGGGGTTTCACCATGTTGGCCAGGCGGGTCTCGAACTCCTGACCTCAGGTGATCTACCTGCTTTGGCCTCCCAAAGTGCTAGGATTAGAGGCATGAGCCACCACACCCGACCCTTCTGGACATTTTCGGTTTATCATATTTGACCCTTGCAACTGTGGTGTTCACTGAGTTATTTAGAGTAACTGTTACTTGGATAGGAAAACAAAGAGCTGGAAAGGTTAAATTACATGCCCAAAGTCATGTGAATAGTGACATAACTCAGAACTCTGTGCTGTTTCCGGTAACCTCTATCAGGTCCCTTCTTATGGAACCCAGTAATGATATGGACTTTACTGAGTCAATCCCATAGAACTGCAAACCATTGAATGTGGATTCAGTGGTGCTACAGACTGTTGTGTCCTACCTCAAATCCATATGTTGAAATCCTAATCCCCACTGTGATGGTATGTGGTGATGGGGACTTTGGGAGGTAATTGGGTCATGAGGGTGGAGCTCTCATACTGGGATTACTACCCTTATTAAAAAGAGACAGGAAAGAGCTTCTTTCCCATCCTTCACCCCCCATTTCTCTGGCTCTTTCTCTGTCCTCTGCCTTGTGAAGATACAATGAGAAGACAGCCTTCTGCAAACCAGGAAGAGGGCCCTCACCAAACACCAGGTCTGCTGGCTTCTTGATCATGGACTTCTCCGTGTCCAGAATTGTGAGAAATAAATATTTCTTGTTTAAGCCACCCAGTGTATGGTATTCTTAGCCTCCTGAACTAAGAGACATGAAAACTAGAATTTGTCTGCATATCAGTGGGATTATAAATGTACAATGTATTTTAAAGAGATGATCTCCAAAATACAGTACTTAGCACATAATATGAAGTTAATAAATGTTTGCTAGATGAATGAATGCAAGCAGTATAGAAGGAGAATGAAGTATTCAGATGAAATTTTAAGTTTGGCTAAAATCACTTGTTTGAGCATTTAAAGACCTTTCATCATCACTGAGGATTATTTTAATTCTCTGTTGTAGGATTGTATTCAGAGCGTTCCTCCCCCAAAATGTTTTTTGAATACCAAATGAATGTAAAAAAGAATAGGATTATAATGTTGTTTCTCACGTGGAACTCTTGTTTATGGCAGTTCAAATAGACTTACTATTAGCTAATATTTATATGCATCCTACTATGTGGCAGGCACTGTACCAAGGGCTTTGCATATCTTTATCCTAGAAACACGCAGAACACGTTTTCCTGTGAAGCTGGGGGGTCAAGCAGAAGCTAGTCTGACTTAGACACTCATATTCTTCCTTGTACACCGCAGTGGCTGCTGAGCCACTATCAGGGTTAACACAAGAAGCACTGCGACTGGAGAAGGCAGGCTGGCAGCTGGCATTTCCTCGGTATTACTGCCATCCACTGGATGTTCAGAAAATAGCAGTATGCCAGTGGCAGAAAGCATTCTGCTAGGAATAAAAATGAAAGTGAATTTTACATTCTTATGATTTTTGGCTTATGCCTGTAATCCTAGCACTTTGGGAGACGAAGGCGGGCAGATTGCCTGAGCTCAGGAGTTTGAGACCAGCTTGGGCAACATGGCAAAACCCCCATCTCTACTAAAACTACAAAAAGTTAGCTGGGCATGGTGGTGCATGCGTGTAGTCCCAGCAACTCTGGAGGCTGAGGCACAAGAATCACTTGAGCCAGGGAGGCAGAGGTTGCAGTCAGCCAGAATCTTACCACTGCACTCCAGCCTGAGTGATAGAGTGAGACCCTGTCTATCTCTAAGTCTCCTTCTAGTGCATATAGCAAAAACGAAGATGTAATCTTTGATCATGTTGTTCAGTATTGAAACCTGGAAGGAGGACATGGTGAAAGGAGGGAGTGTGGTAGATAGTTTGTTACGGAAGTTCATTCATTCAGCCAACAGACAGGCCCTGGAGGCCTCCTCTGTGCCAGTCAATGTGGTGGTTGGCTTTATTTAGTAGCTGGCACACAGGAAGGGATGTCAGAGTTTATTTGGGCCCTATTATGAGACATTGGATTTACTCTGTCCTGTAGCCTGACAATCCTGGGCCATGGTCATGTCAGGAAGCTGTGGGACCATGGTGGAGTATCCAGACAGGGAGCATACCTCAAAGTCAGTGCCTAACCATGGCTAGGTCAGAACTCCATCTTTGTCCATCAAGGAGAGCCCCCTTCCTAATGTGTCATAAGGTCTTTCTAGGAACCTGGGGGGGAGTGAGTGGGAAGCATTTTTCCTCCCCTCAGTACTAGATTTAAGCTAAATATGGACTAAATTTTGAAGAGGAGGAGGTGTCACAAAAATGTAGTTAGAAAGAGCTGTTCTTCCTTGAGAGAGGGGGTTGTTTGTGTGCATGTGTAGATGGACATGGTGGGCAATAGCTATGTGTAATAGGCAGGTCTGCTTTACTGGCCTACAGAGATACCTGCTTCTCTTCTACTTCCCCTGCCTGTTTCTAACATCAGTGAGTCATTTTGATGTTTACTTTATGAGGCCTATTTGAGTAGTAAAATACAGTGATTTTGTTTAGTCTCACTTGGGTAATTGAATAGGTATTTCTGTAACATCAGAGCAAAACTATAACTATTAAGTCGAGGCAGATTCTGAATCGTGATGAAGCAGCACATTTGCAATGCAAAAAGCCAAGCTGACACCAAGAAGTGTCATAGTTTAATGGTCACTGGTTTGATTTCCCAAAGATTATACCATATTCAGTTCTCTCTTTTCTACTCTGTGTACCAAGCCTTTTGTGAGTGCTAAACATCTTTGAGGTATCTGTGATTAGGTACTGCTCATTGGGAAGGTATTAGTTTATTAGAATGGTGAAAAAAACCAAAGGAAGGGCTTCACTCACAGTTCTGCCTAACAATAAATAGAGTTGACTGAGGTGCCAGTCTGTTTTTCCAGCTAAAGTTGCTATCTGGCTGGGCATAGTAGCCCACGTCTGTAATCCTAGCACTTGGGAGGCCGAGGCAGGTGGATCACTTGAGGTCAGGAGTTCGAGACCAGCCTGGGCAACATAGTGAAACCCCATCTCAACTAAATGTACAAAAATTAGCTGGGCGTGGTGACACGCACTTGGGACCTGCAGTCCCAGCTACTTGGGAGGCTGAGGAAGGAGAATCTCTTGAACCTGGGAGATGGAGGTTACAATGAGCTGAGATCACACCACTGCATTCCAGCCTGGCTGGCAGAGCGAGACTCTGTCTCAAAAAAATAAAAATAAATAAAATTGCTATAGGCCTAATTTTAACCCTAAAATCCTACAATTCAAGACCCGTGGCAGTATTATCCCTAGAGTCTGGCAATAGTGGAAGCTCTGCATGGTGACAGACTTGATCACATCCTCACTCTGGCCCTGGACTAGCCAGCAACCTCGAAGTGCCAGAGGGCTCCTGCCAAATACATTTTCCTCCTGACTTGCTGGAATGCTTGAAAATCCTGTGCTAGACTTCTTAGAGACATATACATTTTAAACTTAGCTCAGCTATGACTATAATTTGAAAATAGTAACATATGAGCTAATTAATCTATTAGCAAAGACAATTTTATCAGCCCTATGCTTTGGAGAGGAGGATCCTGAAGGAACCTAAAAGCAGGCCTTGGGAGGCAAAAGCCAAGGTAGGGGTTAGGTTAAGTCAGAAATGAAAAAGGTGATTTAAGTGGGGAAATGAAGACTAAGAATAGGAAGATAAGCATAGTCTTTTCACCTCCCACAGGCTCAGAGTTTTGCCTTAGTTGGGGTTGGAGAGGCTGAGATCCCAGGCTCACAAATTTGACGTAGAAGGCACAGTTTAATGATACTTTACCATAGACTTGAAGATACCATTGGGGCATGGGACACAAATGAACTTTAAAACCAGGCATCCCTGCTCCTGGAGTCCACGGGCTGTGCTTCTTTGCAAAAGTGCTCCTCCTTAAGCCCAGAATTCTCCACCAATTGGCCTAAGCCAGATGAAGCAAAAATCAGTTCTCATCCTCTAACAGTCTGCAGAGCTTCACTCTGCACTTGAAGACTGGCTCAGCATCTGAAGCCTGTGCATGTGGATTACTCCCTGCTTTCAGGACTTCTCTGACCTGAAAGATTGAGTAGGCATTTACCTTAGATCTGCTTGACCAAAACAAACTGTTTCCTAGAACAATGGGGGAATCTTCCCAAAGGAAAAAGAAAATCCAGGAAACACACAAGAATGAAGAGAATGCATCTGATTCTCCAAATGGTGGCTTTAATTTTGTTTTCTCATGTCTGTTGTAATGGGTACCTGGAATTTGATTTTGTCCCTTTTTACTCACCTTACCATTTTTTCTATCCAAGAAACCCTAATTTGGATAATCAGTAAGTCAGTCAAAATGTTCAAATTGGGTGTAAAGTCTATCAGGTAAGTATCAGCCCTTACAGTCTGAAATATTGTCAAGTCAAGCTACACTGCATATTTGCCATCTCACTTTTCATCACACTTGATTTGTCCTTGCATTTGACAAAGAAGCAGAGCAAAGAAATGTTCACCAACCAACCACATGGCAGCATTAAGCACCAGAGTATTTTGAACCCAGGCCTGGTGAAAATTCAGAAGCAGAGAAAATCATGTAAGACAATGAGGCTTCTTAGGAAAACTTCAAAGATTTTGTTAACCGGTCAACTTAACTAACAGTAAATGACCTGAATTCAGGACTAAGATTTCCATAATTATAGTGATCAATGTTGATTTTAATTACATTACTTTTAACACTTTTTAGAAGGAAAGCAAATAATCTCATTTTCATGTATAATTACTCTTCATAGACCTGATATGCTTTTTACTTAGCTTGGAGCAATGAGTCATTTTTTAAAGGACTACATTATTAGCTTTGATCTAATTTGCCTGGGCTGAGTTTAAAATGTTTGTGTTTCTAAGAAGCCTAGGACAGGATTTTCAGGCATGAGATGGCTCTGTGCTTTCTATTTTGGTACTTGGATGTGAAATTTTATACCTCTTATTCCCATAAACTATCATATATAATACGGTTGTACATTGTGAATTTCATGATGTATTCATTGGTCCACAACATTAAAACATAAAAACTGAATCTGAATTATAGGAGTGGGATCATATTATAAATTCATAAAAATTTAATTATTTTTATCAAATATTGATACAATACTGGGTACTGGGGGTAAAATAGAAATTCTGAAAACCATCATTGCTTAAAACCTATAAGTGGGCTCCAAAGGCTAATAAAAATAAAATAGAACGCCAATATGTGTTAAATGAATTAAGAATTAGGATAAAGGATTGATTACTGTGATCTAATAGCAAGAAGGCTTCTTAGTGGGAGGTGAAACTTAAAATGTTTGGGAGCACTCCTAGGAAAAGATAGTGGATTAAGCACATTTTTTCTTCTCCTTATCTTTCTTCAGATCCTAGTAAAGTAATAGTAAAAAATTATAAATGAATAAATGATAAACAGCAAAAAGAAGGGGAACAGTACACTAGGAAACAAAAATTATTAGTACATTTTAGAAAGATGAAGGTGGAGGGAAAGAATTTGCATGACAGAGCATAAGGAAAGTGTTATGGGCTAAATTATGTTCTCTTCAAATTCATATGCTGAAGTCCCACCCCCCAGTACCTCAGAATGTAAATAAATTTGGGGACAGGGTCTTTAAAGAGGTAATTAAGTTAAGTGACATCATTAGGGTATCACTAATACGATATAATTGTCCCTATGTGAAGGAGGTTAGGACACAGGCATATATGGAGGGAAGACCATGTGAAGACACAGGGAGAAGACAGCCATCTGCAAGCCAAGGAGAAAAGGCACCAATCCTACTGGCACCTTGATCTTGAAGAAACCAACCCTACTGGCACCTTGATCTTGGACTTCTAACTTCCAGAATTGTGAGAAAATAATTTTTTATTTTTTAAGCCCTCCAGTTTGTGGTACTTCATTATGGCAGTCTTAGCAACTGAGTACAGATGGTACCTACATTCTAGAACTCTTGAGAAGCTCTGGACTAGGGAACAATAGGTACAGTAAAGGGTATACAGTCTGTTGAGTAAATATCAGCTGATATTTTGGAAAATTCTCAGTCATTATTGCTTCAGATATTTCTTCTGTTCCTTTCTGTCTTCTTCTGGTATTCCCCGTATGTGCATGTTACATCTTTTGTAATTCTCCCACAGTTCTTGAATATCCTGTCTTTTTTCTTCTTTTTTCTCTTTGCATTTCAGTTCAGATATTTTGTGTTCTACATTTGGGCCTGTGATTTATTTCAAGTCAAGTTATGTAAAAATTGCACCAGCTAATGCATTGTCTAGACCTTCCATCATTATGCAGAATAAAGAATGGTGAGAATAGACATTCTTGCCTCGTACCTTAGGGAGATCTTAGAGAGAAAGCATTCATTCTTTTATCTTATTAAGCATAACTAGCTGTAGGTTTTTGTAAATATTCTTTATCAAGTTGAGGAAAGCTCCCTCTATTTCTTTTTTTCCCCTTTATTAAAAATAATAAATTTAGGAACAACCCTACCTTTTCTCTCCAGGAAAGTCCCCTCAATTTCTGTTACTCAGAGAGTTTTTATCAAGAATCTCTGTTAAATTTTTTCAAATGCTTTTTCTGCATCAATTGGTTTGACCATATTTTTTTTTTATTAGCCCAATATGGTAGATTATATTGATTGAATTTTAAATCTTGAACTAGACTTGCATCCCTGGAATAAATCCCATTGGGACATGATGTATAATTCATTTTATATAATGCTGAATTCTATTTGCTAATATTTTGTATCTGTGTTTAGGAAGGATATTATCTGTGGTTTTCTTTCTTTTTTAATATTTTTTGTCTGGCTTTGGGATTAGGGTAGTAGGATATTAAAAAATGAATTAAGAAATCTCTATCTTCTGGAAGAAATTATGTAGAATAGATGCTTATTCTTATTTAAACAATAGGTCAGATTATCCAGTGAAACAATCTGCACCTAGAGATTTATTTTTTTTGGAGTTTTAAAATTATAAGTTAAATTTCCTTAATATTGTAGGCTATTCAGATTATCTATTTCATAATAGGAGATGTGTGGTTATTTGTGTCTTTTGAGTTATTGATTTATTTTTTCTGAGTTGTCAAGTTTGTGTGTGCAATATTCCCTTATCCTTTGATGTCTGTAGGGTCTATAGTGATAGTTTCTGTTTTATTCCTGATATTGGCAATTTGTGTCTTTTCTTTTTACTGTGTATAATTTCAGTTATTTTATATTTGTTGAGGTTTATGTCCCAATTTATGGTCCATCTTGGTATATGATTTGTGGACTCTTGAAAAATCTGTTGATTCTGCTGTTGAGGGGTGGAATATTTTATAAATGCTAACCTGTTGGTTGATGGTATTGAGTTTTTCCATATCCTTGCTGATTTTATGTTTTGTTCTTCTATCAGTTGTTGACAGGGTGTGGAAATCTCCAGTTATAATTGTGGATTTCTCTATTTCTTTTTTCAGTTACAGTATATCAGTTTTCGTTTCACATATTTTGCAGTTCTATTTTTGGGTTCACGCACATTTAGAATTACTGTGTCTTTTTAGTTGATTTATCCCATTGTCATTATGTAATGTCCCTTCTTGTTTGTGGTAATTGTCTTTGCTCTGAAGTCTACTTTATCTGATATTAATATAGCCATCCTTGCTTTCCTTTGATTAATGTTTGGATGATATGTCTTTTCCTATTCTTTTACTTTCAATGCTTTATATTGAAGTACGTTTGTTATAGACAGCATGTAGTTGGGTCATGTTATGTAACTCAACATGCCATCTCTGTCTTTTAATTTGTTTTCAGACCATTTACATTAAACATAATTACGTTAGAATATACATCTGCCATTTTATTTTTTGTTTTCTGCTATTTTCATTTTTTTTTGCCTTCCTGTGTGTTACTGAAATATATTTTAGAATTCTATTTTGATTTATCTGTATAATTCTGAAAAAGCATATGTCTTATTTTTTTTGGGTGCTGTAGGTATTACATTATATATACATGACTTATTGCAGTCTACTGGTGTTATTTACCAGTTCAAACAAAGTACAGAAACCTTACCTTCCTTTTCTGTCGTCCTCCCCTACTTAGAGTTGTCTTAAATATTTCCTGTACATACATTTAGAATCACATAGGACAATGCTGTGATTTTTGTTTCAACCTTTAAACATAATTTAGAAAACTCAAGAAGAAAAGAAAAACGTGTTGTATTTGTTCATTGTATTTGCTTACTGTGTTGTTTCTTTCTTCCTAATGTTTCAAGTTTCTCTTTTTGTCATTTTTTTCTGTTTTGAGAATTTCCTTTACCCATTTTTTTTTGATAGTTTTGCTGGTGAAAAATCATCTTAGTTTTCCTTCACCTGATAGTTTCTTGATATATATATAAATAATTCCTAAAATATATTTTTACTAGATATAGAATTCTTGGTTGACAGTTGTTTTATTTTATTTATTTATTTATTTTTGATATGGAGTCTTGCTCTGTCACCCAGGCTGGATTGTAGTGGTGAGACCTTGGCTCACTACAACCTCTGCATCCTGGGTTCAAGGGATTCTCAGCTTCCCGAGTAGTTGGGATTACAGGCATGCACCACCACACCCAGCAATTTTTTTCTTGTATTTTTAGTGGAGATGGGGTTTCACCATGTTGACCAGGCTGGTCTCCAACTCCTGACTTCAAGTGATTCACCCAAACTGCTGGATTACAGGCATGAGCCACTGTGCATAGCTGGTTGACAGTTGTTTTCTTTCAATACTAAAAAATATTGTGCCACTTATTTCTGCCCTACATGGTTTCTGATGAAAAATTTGTTGTTGTTGTTGTTTTTCTGTAGGTAAGTTGTCATTTTTCTTTGGCTGCTTTCAATATTTTAAAATTTGTATTTAGTTTTCAGAAGTTGGCATGGATTTCTTTAAGTTGATCATGTTTGGAGTTTGCCCACCTTCATGAATTTGTAGATCTTTGTCTCCTGGCAAATTTGGGAATTTTTCAGCCATTACTTCTTTGAGTGTTTTTTCAGTCTTATTGCCTTTGTCCCCTACTTCTGAAACTTTGATTACATTAATGTTATTTTTTTAATAGTCCCACAGGTCCTTGAGATACTGTTCATTTTATTTCAGTCTATTTTCTCTGTATTTTTCAGATTGACTAATTTCTATTGTTTTATTTCTCAATTCATGATTTCTTTCCTGTGTTTCCTCCTCTTACTATTGAGCCCATCCATGAGATTTTTATTTCAGTGATTTTATTTTTGAGTTTTAAAATTTTCATTTAGTTCTTTATATTGTCTATTTTCTATATTTTATTTGTTTCAAACTGGTTTGTAATTGCTTGTTGAAGCATTTCTATTGTGGCTGCTTTATTATTTATTTTTGAAAAAAGAAAATTTTAATTTAAAAATTTTTGTATTTTTGTTATTTATTTATTTTCTCTGGTATTTGGGTTTTTTCTCCTATAGATTATTGGGGTACAAGTGGTATTTGGTTACATGAGTAAGTTCTTTAGTGGTGATTTGTGAGATTTTGGTGTATCCATCACCCAAGCCATATACACTGCATCTTATTTGTAGTCTTTTATCCCTTGCCCCTCTCACCCTTCCCCCTAGGTCCCCTAGGGGGAAGTCCACTGTATCATTCCTATGCTTTTGCATCCTCATAGCTTAGCTCCCACATAACAGTGAAAACATACAATATTTGGTTTTCCATTCCTGAGTTACTTCACTTAGAATAATAGTCTCCAATATCGTCCAGGTCACTGCAAATGCCACTAATTCATTTCTTTGTATGGCTGAGTAGTATTCCATTGTATATATATACCACAGTTTCTTTTATCCACTCATTGATTGATGGGCATTTGGGTTGTTTCCATGATTTTGCAATTGCGAATTGTGCTGCTATGAACATGCATGTGCAAGTATCTTTTTTGAATAATGACTTCTTTTCGTCTGGGTAGATAGCCAGTGGTGGGATTGCTGGATCAAATGGTAGTTCTACTTTTAGTTCTTTAAGGAATCTCCACACTGTTTTCCATAGTGGTTGTACTATTTACATTCCCACCAGCAGTGTAGAAGTGTTTCCTGATCACTGCATCCATGCCAACATCTACTGTTTTCTGATATTTTTTGATTATGGCCATCTTGCAGGAGTAAGGTGGTATTGCATTGCAGTTTTGATTTGCATTTCCCTAATTATTAGTGATGTTGAGCATTTTTTCATATGTTTGTTGGCCATTTGTATATCTTCTTCTGAGAATTGTCTATTCATGTTCTTAGCCCACTTTTCAATGGGGTAATTTTTTTTTCTTACTGATTTGTTTGAGCTTATTGCAGATTCCAGATATTAGTCCTTAGTTAGATGTGTAGATCGTGATTTTCTCCCACTCGGTGGGTTGTCTGTTTACTTTGCTTACTGTTCCTTCTGCTGTGTAAAAGCTCTTTAAGTCCCAACTATTTGTCTTTGTTTTTATTGCATTTGCTTTTGGGTTTTTGGTCATGAAATCCTTGCCTAAGCCAATGTCTACAACAAGGGTTTTTCCAATGTTATCTTCTAGAACTTTTATAGTTTCAGGTCTTAGATTTAAGCCCTTAATCCAACTTGAGTTAATTTTTATATAAGGTGAGAGATGATGATCCAGTTTCATTCTCCTACATGTGGCTGGCCAGTTATCTCAGCATTGTTTGTTGAAAAGGGTATCCTTTCCCTACTTTATGTTTTTGTTTGCTTTATTGAAGATTAGTTGGCTGTAAGTATTTGGGTTTATTTCTAGGTTCTCTATTCTGTTCCAATGGTCTATGTGCCTATTATTGTATCAGTACCACTACTGTTTTGGTGACTATGGCCTTATAGTATAGTTTGAAATCAGATAGTGTGATGCCTCCAGATCTGTTCTTTTTGCATAGTCTTGCTTTGGCTAGATGCATTCTTTTTTGGTTCCCTATGAATTTTAGGATATTTTTTCTAATTCTGTGAAGAATGATGGTGCTATTTTGATGGGGATTGCATTGAATTTCTAGATGGCTTTTGGCAATATGGTCATTTTCACAATGTTGATTCTACCTATCCATGAGCATGGGATGTGTTTCTATTTGTTTGCATTGTCTCTGATTTCTTTCAGCAGTGTTTTATAGTTTTCCTTGTAGAGGTCTTTTGCCTTCTTGGTTAGGTATATTCCTAGGTATTTTATTTTATTTTATTGCAGCTATTGTAAAAGGGGTTGATTTGATTCTCCACTTGATTTGATTGATTCTTGATTTGATTCTCCACCTCATTGCTGTTGGTGTATAGAACTACTGATGTGTGTATATTAATCTTGTATCTGGAAGCTTTGCTGAATTATTTTGAGTTCTAGGAGCTTTCTGGAGGAGTCTTTAAGGTTTTCAAGGTAAGCAATCATGTTGTTAGCAAACAGTGATAGTTTGACTTCCTCTTTATTGATTTGGATGCCCTTTATTTCTTTCTCTTCTCTGATTGCTCTGGATAGGACTTCCAAGACTATATTGAAGAGGAGGGGTGAGAATAGGCATCCTTGTCTAGTTCCAGTTCTCAGAGGGAATGCTTTCAGTTTTTCCCCATTCAGTGTTATGTTGGCTGTGGGTTTGTTATAGATGGCTTTTATTATGTTGAGGTATGTCCCTTGTATGCCAATTTTGCTGAGAGTTTTAATCATAAAGTGATGCTGGATTTTGGCAAATGCTTTTTCTGCATCTATTGAGATGATCATATGATTTTTGTTTTTAATTCTGTTTATGTAGTGTATCACATTTATTGACATGTATATGTTAAACTATCCCTGCATCCCTTGTATGAAATTCACTTGATCAGGGTGGATTATATTTTTGATATGTTGTTGGATTTGGTTAGCTAGTATTTTATTAAGGATTTCAGCATCTGTATTCATCAGGGATATTGGTCTGATAGTTTTCTTTGTTGGTTATGCCCTTTCCTGGCTTTGGTATTAGGGTGATGCTCGCTTCATAGAATGAATTGGGGGGGATTTCCTCTTTCTCTATCTTGTGGAATAGTGTCAAAAGGGTTGGTCCCAATTCTTTGAATGTCTAGTAGAATTCTGCTGTGAATACACCTGGTCCTAGACTTTTTTTTTGCTGGTAATTTAAAAATTACAACTGCTTGTTATTGGTCTGTTTAGGGTATCTAATTCTTCCTGATTTAAGCCAGGAGTGTTGTATTTTTCCAGGAATTTATCCATCTCTTCTAGGTTTTCTAGTTTATGTACATAAAGGTGTTCATAGTAGCCTTGAATTATCTTTTGTATTTCAGTGATGTCAGTTGTAATAGCTATTGTTTCAATACGTAATGAGGTATTTGGATTTTCTCTCTTCTTTTCTTGGTTAATCTTGCTAATGGTCTATCAATTTTATTTATCTTTTCAAAGAACCAGCTTTTAGTTTCATTTATCTTTTGTATTTTTGTTTATTTCAATTTCATTTAGTTCTGCTCTGATCTTGGTTGTTTCCTTTCTTTTACTGGGTTTGGGTTTGGTTTGTTCTTGTTTCTTTAGTTCCTTGAGGTGGGACCTTAGAATGTCAGTTTATGCTCTTTCAAACTTTTTGGGGTAGGCATTTAGGGCTATGAATTTTCCTCTTAGCACTGCCTTTGCTGTACCCAAGAGGTTGTGATAGATTATGTCACTATTGTCATTCAATTAGAAGAATTTTTTTTTTTTTTAAACTATAAGTTCTGGGGTACAAGTGCAGAACATGCAGGTTTGTTACATAGGTATACATATGCCATGGTGGTTTGCTGCATCCATCACCCCATCATCTACATTAGGTATTTCTCCTAATGCTATCCTCACCTAACCCCCTACCCCCTGCTATCCGTCCCCTAGCCCACCAACCCCCACAGACCCTGGTGCGTGATGTTCCCCTCCCTGTGTCCATGTGTTCTCATTGTTCAGCACCCACTTATGAGTAAGAACATGTGGTGTTTGGTTTTCTGTTCTTGTGTCAGTGGGCTGAGAATGATGGTTTCCAGCTTCATCCATGTCCCTACAAAGGACATGAACTTGTCCTTTCTATGGCTGCATAGTATTTCAAGGTATATATGTGCCACATTTTCTTTATCCGGTCTATCATTAATGGACATTTGGGTTGGTTCCAAGTCTTTGCTATTGTGAACAGTGCTGCAATAAACATACATGTGCATGTGTCTTTATAATAAGATGATTTATAATCCTTTGGGTATATACCCAGTAATG